TTGCCTTGCCAAAGGGAGAAACCCTTACCTGTTACGTCCCTAGGCTTTACATACTAAACAAATGGCAGGAACAAGTGGAGTGTGGAATCAAACCGAGGGACAGAGGCAATTAAAAATAAATCAGGCACCTTGGAAAAAGTCATTTGCAGAAACAGTTGGGTCCACAGCATGAAAATATGGTGGAAACACATTAAAGCAAAAATTAATTTAATAAACATTCATCTTCATTCTTTTTGAAGGAGAGAATACCATAAAATACTTCATTAGGCAAAGTCTCAGCAAGGAAGTATGAACGCCTTAAAAAGAAGAGTTTGCAAATAGAGAGAGAGAGAGAGAGAGAGAGAGAGAGAGAGAGAGAGAGAGAGAGAAAGAATATGGCCCAGATTAAGTATGAAGCTTTACGAGTAGAGCAAGAAAAAGTTAGATATAGTGGCACATGACTTCATGACTGTAATCCCAGCACTTTGGGAGACGGAGGCAGGAAGACCAAAAGCCTGACCCTAGCCCAGGAAACTTAATGACCATGAATGTCAAACTAAAAGTTAAAAAAGGGCTAGAATTGTAGCTCAGCACAAAGGCCCTAGGTTCAATTCCAAGTCCAAAAGAAAGCAGAGCGAGACAAGATAGCTCCTACATGGGGACGATAAGGTAAGAGTGCTGAGAGCCTGCTCAGTTTCTCATTCCTTCGTATTCCTGCAGGCCCATTATGCTAGAACCACACATTGGCAATAACAGTCTGTTGGTCTAAGTAATCTGCTCCCATGGACTCAAATCTGACTATAACCTGAACAAGGCCCTGAACAGCCCCATCTCCGTCTCCCACACTAGATCTTGTTTGCTGTCCTCAGGTAAGCAGACCTCCACTGGAGCAGGTGATTACTTGATCACCGAATGATCTCAGGTCTTTGCGTGAAGTGCTGGGGCATCAGCTTGACACCCCAATCACCTCCTAGGTGATTCAAGGCGACACCTGCTGCATCCTAACCCAGAATTCTATTGTGGTCCATTTCCTAAAACTACACAGCTTTTTCTTCTGTATCACCTTTGCCCGTGGTTCCACACACAATTCCAGACTGAAGCTTTAAGTGGCTTCCACTACTACCCAGGCCTGGTCATCAGTTGGAAGATGATGTTATGGCTTCTGTTTAGATGTCCTCCAGTGCCTCATGTATGATTGACTCATGGTAGGGCTAGGCCCAAAGGTACTGAGATTAAGTTCTACTTAACATAAGTAGGCTAAATAAGATAAAAGGGCCAGGAAGATACTGGTGAGGTTCCCTTGTTACTTTTGCTGCCTTCTGGCCACCACTGTGGCCCCATGAAAGCAAGCCCAGGGACAAAGGCAATACACAGAAAAGAGCCCCGAGAAAGGAGTGCAGGAGACAAAGCACTCTGATCAAACCACTCCTGAAAGTATGCTGCTCTTCTCTGTTTTATAGGCTGGTTGGGATTTCGCAGCTGTTTAATGTGCAGATTTGTAACTGACACTAAGGCGAGTCAGACAATGGGAAAGAACAGGAGAGAAAAGAGAAAGGGAAGTTAAGATAGGGAAGAATGCAAAAGAAAGGTAGTAGGCAAAAAAGAGAAAAGGCAGGCGGATAGGAGGGTCACGGAGCAGCAGGACGCTATACAGACAAGGGTGTCCGACCCGCACTTGATGAGCAAACTGAGGCGCCCTCCCAGGGTCACACCTGTGTGTGCCAACCCGAAAACGAGTCGTAAAATCGAGAAGCAGCTTCTAAAACTGAAGCAATTCTTTCTCATTCCAAAAAATTTTGACGTACATAAAAGTAGAAGAACAAGAGCCATACTTCCACATTCAGATACGAGTACTAACTTTTACCAATTTTTCTCAGGTTTTTTTTTCCCCCATGTTTAAGGAGGATTTTGCGGACATGCTAACTCTGCTTATGTAATTTCAGCCCCTGATTTTTTTTCTCTTATTTTATAAATATTCCCTGTGTTTTATTTTCTATTCTTCAAAACATCATTTCTATGACTCTGGAATATTCAGTCATGTAGACATACCCTGCTTTAATCATTTTTCTAATCCTAGGCATATTATTTGTTCATGATTTTTAACATATATTTTCAAAACACTCCAAAGAGAATTTTCTTGCAAAAAAACCTTTTCTGAATATACAATTATCTTAAATAGATTTTCAGAAGTAAAGTCTTAGAGAGTCAAAGGGCAGGAATTAGATCGCCAAATTTAGCAGCTAAAAATGCAGGACATTCATTTAAATTTTAATTTCAAATTATTTGTTGTTATGTGAAATTCAGATTTTACTGGGAGTTCTGTATTTTATCTGGCAACCCTAGCAGAAATATTTTAGAGATTCCATATATATCTCCAATGCCCGCAGGATAGAAAAGGGGGGAAATGAGAGAATAATTTCCAACACTTTATTTTGTGCCACACTCTGTTTTATTAAGCATTATTACATCGAACCTCGCGTTGCCTCTAAGATAAGGGTTATTTTAGCCCTACGTCGCCGAGGAGAAACAATAAGATCAGCAATGCAAAACGTCCAAGACTCAAGGAACTAGGGTGCAGGAGAAGCACAGTCTCACCCAGTCCGCCGCTCTGGTGGCCCCAAGGAGCTGAAGGAAGAGGGGTGGAGAGGGACACGCGGCCACGCCTCCCACAGCAGCGGGCCACTCTGGGGCACCGGCAGGCACCGCCTCAAAGCCCAACGCAGCTCCGGCAGCAGCCTTCCCCCTGTTCAGAGACCCACGTCTCTGGCCACCTACTGCAGGAGAGTGAGAGTTCTCTGAACAACTGTGGCAAGATAGGAGAGGATCTGCACTGCCCTGAATGGGAACAAAGTCACCAAATTAATTAAAAAACGGATCCATTTCTTAAGTTCTTTTCCAGCTGCCAGCCTAGGCCCACTTCTTTGACTTTTCTGTCACCCGCATCTTCATCTTCGTTCTACTTAGGGTCTCCTTCTCCACAATTCCCTGTACCCTGTTCCCATTGTTCCATTTCCTTTCCTTTTTTCCTTTTCTTTATTTTTTCTTATCTTTTATTTTCTTCTCCTTTTTCTCCCCTCCCCTCCCCTCCCCTCTACTCTTCTCTCTCGTCCTGTTCCCTTCTCCCCCCCCCCATTTTCTCTCTTCCTTCCTTCCTTCCTTCCTTCCTTCCTTTCTGGGATAGGAATGAGGCCCCGCCCTTTCTGAGCATTCTACGCAAGCGCTCACCACTGAGCCACATCCCAGTTCCTCTTTCTTGTTTGGGGAACATTTGGGGCTCCCTCACCTTCACCTCTCACATCCTCTTCACACCCATCCTTTCATCCAGCAGACAACAAACACCCTTTCCCCAGCGAGCATCACCTGCCTTAGAGAGAAAAGATTACACTTAATAAACATGGCCCCTCTATAGATCTCTATTTATAAAATATGAAGCAGCGAGAAATTTAATTTCTTCTTCTTCTTCCTTCTCTGATACCCGCTTCCTTTCTCTCCATTCTCAGTGAGACTTTCACAGAGCATCAGTTAGGAGTGGGTCCCCCTCAGGGTCTCTGCAGAACACCCAGCCTTCCTCAGCCCAACAGGCAAGAAAGACACCGAGTCACTGCCCTGGACACACAGAAGAGAGGGACCACGCATACAAATGCACATACAAAGGGCTGTTAGGACCCAAAGGAGACACAACACTGCCACCTGAGTGTCATGGGATGCTTTCTGGAACAGGTGTCACTTAGAGGGCACAGAAGGACCGATAGCCTTCACACACGAAGAAATGGGTCATGCTGGGTGGAGGTGGGAGGCTCTCTTTCCAGTTAGAATGTTTTGAGAGTGCACGCAGGGAAAGAGGAAGGTGAGCTCAGGCTCATAGTGTAAGACATCTTCTGTAATGCCCTTCACGTGCTGCTCAGGAGCCCCTCTTGCTTGATGTGAAAAGGAGCATGGGTAAAGGCTGCTGCTGACCTCTGGGGTCCCCAAGTAGGTAGGGAGCATCCCTGTGTTCCCAGTGCCCCCTAGCATCACCGGGACTGTCCACAATTGATAAGCACGGCTCACCCTGGCCTTCTTCTAAAGGATTCACAAAATGCAATCTTACAATTTTAAAACTGTTCATAAAAATGGATCAATCAGCACAAGGCTGAAATAATTAGTTCCCTTTGCTAGGAAAAAAAAATAGTGCTTCTTAATTATTGTACTGATTGCGTGAGAGGTTTTTAAATACAACAAAGAGGCCTCTGAAGGCTCTGTCCTTCTACCTGCCTATAGGGGAAAGAATCTAATTAAAACAAAGAAAATGTATTAATATTTAATGGTGTGATTTTTTCCCCACATCCTTTCTACTTCTCAATCCGGTGTCAGCTCCAAAAATTCCCCCAAGAAAAGAACACTTAGAATCCCAGGAGTGCAATGCTGTCAGAGCAGTCTGTACAAACAGCTCTGTCATTCAGAGCCTCTCCCTCAAATCACCACGTCACCCTCAGCCCTCTGGTGGTATCCTGGCCTCCTACCCTGCGCACCACAGTCCCCTGAGCTGCTTGTCCCCAGGATCGGTTCCAGCTTTGCCCTTTGTCATGAGGAAACTTGGGGAAGTGGACGGAGCACTGTGGAGGTCCCCAGCGGCTGCCAGGAAGATCCAAAGAGCTGAGTGAACATTCAGCAGAACCCAGCACCTAGGAAGCACTCAATAAATGGGACGGAATGGCCTTGTCACTGTAACAGACTCAGAAGCTAAGGTCCAGGAGTGGGGCAGGGTGAGCTTTCTAAGGTCACTCACAAGACACAAGCATCAGTTCAGGAGCTCCGCGCTCACCATTCCTCTCGGTGTGCTGAGTAGACACCCATGTCCTGGCCCCAGCGTGGGCTCTGCTCTATGTGAGGGGTAGAATGTCCTTTGCTGCTTGGCCTTTGCATTCATTATTTGTAGCTACATAAAAGCTGTGGTCCCTCTGGAGCTACCTTCATTCCCTTCTAGAACAGACAGTTGTTATCCTTCTAATTCCATGGAGACAAAGAGATTTAAAAAAAAAAAAAAAACTAAGGCCAAAAGGAACTTTATCACCAAAATGTCTAAAGGTAGGACTTCAGGCACAGATGGATACAGGGCCTGGACCAATGTCATTAGAGCTTGGCTTTTTCTTTCTAGCATCCTCTTTCACACAGCTCCAATTCTCAAAAAATGTGTCGCCTAGAGGTCGTAGGATGGTTACTACAACTTTACTCCCACCCAAGGCCATCCACAGTGGGGCTCCCTGAAAAACTCTTATCTCATGGGTTGAGGTAGAATGGGCCACATATTAGTTCTGTTTGTGCTCCCTACTGTGCCCAACAAACATGAAAAAAGAATAGCAGAGCTACTTCCTTTGGGTTCCTGTGAGTAGCCTGGGTGCATCTACTCCTGGCTCACCCAGGATGTGAAAGGGAGGGGGTACATTTAGTAGTACATTTAGCTGAAACTAAATTCCTCTGACATGTGGGGATCTATTCTTCGGTCCTGAAGAATGGTGAAATGTAATTTTAAGCAGCAATTACACAATAGAGGCCCAGAGGGCAAATTCAGCCCTCCTGGAATGGGGTGGGTTTGGTCCACATCATATGTTTGAATTCAAATTCACTATCAATATTAAATAGCAGCAGCCGTGGTGGTGCATACCTGTAATCCCAGCACTAGGGAGGCTGAGCCAGGAGGGTCACTGTGAGCTAGAGACCAGCCTGGGCTACATAGTGAGTTCCAGGGCAGTCTCTCAACTGCGTAGTGAGACCCTGTCTCAAAAACAAATAAATAAATGCATAAATATCAGCCAAGCACCTGGGAAAAGTGGACCTTTATCCAGAGGGACCTGCCCTGGCTCTGCCTTGGCCAGTCTTCACTGGCTCCCACAGAACCTACCCACTCACCTCCCTCGGGTTCAGCATGGACACTGTGGCCAGCCAGGTTTTCACATCCTGAGGCCTCTGCTTAGGGCCAATATGAACACCCTCAGCTGCAAGCACCATCCACACCCCCAGCTCCTCTGACTGATGGTGCCACTTCCTGAAGGGCACGGCTAGCCTAGGAGGTGCACAGGTCATGGACCCACGTTAGCCATGTTAGAAGGAACATGACATCTGAGGGTGCTCAGGGACAATGCGGGGGCACCCAGGGTAACAGTGGCTCAGGCGATACGAGTTAGGGAGCACATTCTTTCCTCAACCCTGTCCCACGCCTCAGACTGAAAAGCTCGGACACAGGGCCCTAGAAGTGCAAAGGAAGAGGATAAAAAGGTACAAACAGAATCTTGCTCTCACCACCTTCCCCATCTCCCTGGCTCATGAAGGACGGAGGTTTACAGGCTGGGCACCTGACCCTCTAGGTGGTTTTACCTTTGCTCCACTCCACCCCCTTCTGCCTTCCTGCGGGCTCCCCTGAAAGTCAAGCTTTTGAAGCTGGGAGCCCTGCTGTTGCTAAGGCTGTGTCTGCATTGGGGTGAGGAGGGGGAGTCATCCACATGCGCAGGCCCGGAGTAGAGGAAAGCAGTGAATGTTTTAACAAATGTAACCCATTTCTCTCTTGTGGGACAGGGGTGGGGGAAAAATGAATCTGAGCCCAGGGGGCCTGTGTCATTCTGCTCCAGCGCACACACACACACCCCACACACCCCAAATCTGTTCAGTCCTCTCCACCCCTTCTGCCCTCAGCCCAGACTCAGCGCCTGGACAGCTGCTTGGGCTCTCGGCAGCCACTCTCACCCCACCGCGTCCTCTTAGAACCTGCCCACAGCTTCCTGTCTAATAGGGATAAAAATCAAAACCCTTCCCAGAGGCCTAAAAAAGCCTTTGATGCTGTTTCTTCTCTCTCCCTGTGGGACTTCATCTCGGCGCCTCTCCTGCCTGTCAGGTGCAGCAGGTGTCACCTAGTCCACCTCCTCAGGGACCAAGGGCCACCAAGTCCACTCCACGCTCCACGGCCACATCTAGAGCCACATCTGCCACATAGTGGGAACGAAGCACAACGGAAACCAAGGGACAAGGTCTGAAAACAATCTGACTGTCTGAACCTCTGTTTATGAGTAGTCAAAGGCAACTATTTGTGGATCCCGGAAGCCTCCATTTAAAAATTTAACTAGGGTACAAGAATAGCAGAAGGAAAAGGGGGGAAAGTCGGCATTATTTTACAGTTTATTTAATTCACTCCTCCTGCTGGTACTAATTTAATTCATCTCCACGGCTAACGGAAGGACTGAATTGAAATATTAACCTCAAAGGCAGCACTGGGACAGATAATGGAGCCTGCCTGTAAGTGCTGAGCGGAAAGATAAAAGGGGAAGGAGCTGCTGCTTCCACAGGAGAATTAAAGAAGGAGGGGGGCATAATAGAAGGCTTTTTTCTCATGGTTCATTTTCTTTCTCTTTAGTCCAAAGTGATAAAAGCAAATAAATTTGTGTTTAGAATCACAGACACAGAACAAGGCCATTATATAAAGATATTATCTTCCTGGTGAAACTTTGTCAGAAGTTCTAATGTTGAAAGCATGCAAAGTGGATTAAAATATCACAGGCAAGCAGCAGAGACTGTCAAAAATGACAGAATATTATTAAACCTGTATATTTATCCCTTAATTTTCATCTCCGCACGAGACCCCAGCGTGGGGCTGTTTCTGTACGAAGCTGTGGCCGCGTGGCCAGCTAGGCAGTGTGAGGGAGGGGAGCCTGCTTGGATGGAGACCAAGACGCCTTCCAAGTTCCCCAGCAGCCTCCGGATTGAACAAAGTCCAAGCTAAGCATCTAAATAAACAGAACAGTGGCTCTTCTGCCCGGATGACATTTAGCTGGCTTTCTCTCCCTCCTGAGCACACGGGTTGAGACAGAGAGGAGGAACCTGGATGCAGCATGGGCTACAAGAATGACACACTGCCTGCAGATCTTGCAGGGGAAGCATGGGCCTCTCCCCTTACATTCCTCTCTCTCTGTGAGCTCTGGTGGACCCCACAGATGGGACATGCTTCCTATGCTCTGCTGTGTGTCTGGGCTTTACACAATTCTCCCTGTTAATCTTCATAACTGTCCCCGAGAGGGGCTATAATCCTTCTGGTTTTGCATTTGAGCCACGGAGGCTCAGAGGCCAAGCAAGTTACTCAGGGCCTGCAGCAGTCCACCCGGGTCAAGCCCAGCCCTGCTGGACTCTGTGACAAAGCAAGTCATTCCTCTATGGGAGGAGCCCCAGTGGTGGGAACACCCCGATAGGGAGAGCTCTTGGAGACTAAGTTTCAGGGGACACAACCGTGTGTGCAGGAGCTTGGATATATCAACATTTCCTCAGGAGCTCTGGGAACTTGCAGGTGGGGACAACAGTTGCCTTGGGAGGAGTTGAGGGATGGGGACACGGACAAGGCAGGCAAGTAGGTCTATGTCTCTATGTTCATCTCTTTGTGCTACTTGAATTCATCATCAAGTGTTCATTTGACTTTAGAAACAAAAGTTAAGACAATGCGAAAAATAGCTTAGCTGGAAGAAAAGCAAGGTAGGGGTTTTTACCGCCTCTCCCAGTCCACTTCCTGCGCATACAGTTTCATTACCTTGATAAGACTGTTGTCATCAAAGTCCCTGCTGCACGGAGGCAACTCCAAAGAGCAGTCCAGCCACTTTTGCAGATAAGGCTACCACAGAACCCAGCGCAGCCTGATGCCCACGCAAGCCTGGAGAAGGGAGCTGTCCGAGGTGGACGGGAAAGGGCATCTTGGGGCTTGCTCTCATTGACTAAGTGTACGCTAAGGAGAGGAGAAGCGAGTCAGGCTCAAGAAGCAGGAAGCTTGTACATGTTGGAGGTCCAGTTTTACTAAAGGACTACAGAATAACAAAATGAAATTTTGTGCTAAAATGAATAATTAGAACGAGAACATGAGTCACAACAAACACGAGAGACTTAGAGATTCAAGTCCCTTTTCAACATTCTTTGGGCAACTTGCCAGAAACGCTCACATAGACACGTTTTGTGGTAGTCCTCACCCTGCCCCCAGCAGTGCTCAAGTCCCGGAGCTCAGACAGCAGAGACAGAGGCCTGATGCTTTATGCACTTAGCAATCAAGCCATCTCCTTGGAGGAGATCCACGGTGCTCAGGCGCCTTCGTGAAGAATGACAGTGACGAAGCAACAAAAACCAGCCAGTAACCAGGGAATCTAGCTGCTGTGATCCAGCCGAGGCCCCCCCCAGCCTTAGGAGGGGTCAGCAAACTCAAGTTAAGACCACCCCTTGAGAATCTGGATTAAGGTCCCAGGCACCAGACCAGCCCTTAGTTTGCAGGGAGTCACACTCGGCAGCAGGCATGTGGGAACCAGCTGGCAGCTTTCGCGGTAACACCGGCAGAGGTGGGGTCAGGACTGGATGTCTCTACTTGTGCATTCCACTAAGCTTTTTCTCCTCTTCCTTCCTTCCTTCCTTCCTTCCTTCCTTCCTTCCTTCCTTCCTTCTTCCTTTCTATCTTTCTTTCTTTCTTGCTACCGGGTTACATTCTCAGTCCTTTTTTTTTTTTTTTATTTTGAGACAGGGCCTCACTAAGTCAATAAATTGTCCAGGCTGGGCTCAAATTTACAGTCTTTCCTACATCAGTTTCCCAGAGTGCTGGGATTACAGACATGTGTCGCCATGCCTGGCTTCCAGCAAACATTTGCAGAAGGAAGAATGCCCACTCTGTACCTCTACTAACTCTTCTAGACAACAGAAAAGAGGCACTTTCTTCTAGCTTGGTTCATGAAAACAGTAATATCTGATACCAAGGCCAGACAAAGATATTTCAGGAAAAATAAGTATTATTCATGAACTAATCACCATGCATATCAAAATAGCTAAAATTAAAAACACAAAATATTGGTGAGAATATGGAGCAACTGGAACTCTGACACATCCCCAGTGAGTGTGAAAAATGATACATTCACTTTGGAAAACTGTTTGCCAGTTTCTTAAGTATACAGTTTAACCCACTATGTTTCCCAGAGTGCTGGGATTACAGACATGTGTCGCCATGCCTGGCTTCCAGCAAACATTTGCAGAAGGAAGAATGCCCACTCTGTACCTCTACTAACTCTTCTAGACAACAGAAAAGAGGCACTTTCTTCTAGCTTGGTTCATGAAAACAGTAATATCTGATACCAAGGCCAGACAAAGATATTTCAGGAAAAATAAGTATTATTCATGAACTAATCACCATGCATATCAAAATAGCTAAAATTAAAAACACAAAATATTGGTGAGAATATGGAGCAACTGGAACTCTGACACATCCCCAGTGAGTGTGAAAAATGATACATTCACTTTGGAAAACTGTTTGCCAGTTTCTTAAGTATACAGTTTGTAACCCACTAATACCAACCCAGTAGACATAAAAGCACATGTCCACACAAATACCTTTAAATGAATGTTCCTAGCAGCTTTATTCATAAGTCCCAAACCAAAAACTGTACAAGCACCCATGTACATGTGTACAAACTGTCCCTGAGGGATTTCATCATTAAGTATACAAATGTGTATGTAAGAAAAATAAACATTAAAAGAGAGGGGAAAAATGAATGGCTAAACAACTTGCGACACATTCTACATGCAATATTATTTAGCAATAAGAAGGAAATATTGGCAACTATATGGAAAAGTTTCAAACTATTATGCTAAGTGAAAAAAGCCAGACACAAAGAGTACAGGGTGATTAGATCCATCTACCTGAGCTCCTGGAACAGGCACACCATTGTACAGTGACACAGAGCATACCGAGAGTGGCCACAGTAAAAGGACACATTGGGAATTTTTGGGTCATGAAAGATGCTATATTTTGATGGAGAGGAAGGTAGTCACAAGGGAACATGTATTTGTCAATGCTTATCAAATTGTGCAACAAAATTCATTTTAAATTTGAAAAAAATGCAACCAATAAATTTTTTAACTGAAGTTCAGGCTCTATTCCCAAATACCTTGATTCAGTATTTAAGGGTAGAGGCCAAGCACGGGTGTTTCTCATAACGCTTCCTACTGCTTTCCGGGTAAGACCTAGCTTGGCCAAGAGAACGACTTCACTTTTGGAAAGGTTACTGGAATCACATCACTCCCTGACGAAAATCTGTATGCAAATGTCCCTCCCCCACCTTTCCAGACTCGCCCTCAAACACTTCCCACCTCTCCCTATGCTTCTGCCATCCTGACCTTGCCCTTGTTCCCTTAATGCCCCCCGCAGCCCAGTTGCCTCTGGCTGCATTCCGTGCCCCTGCCTGCGATGCTCTTCCCTTTTCTCCAGGGGCCAGATGACTGCTTCCACCCAGGGTACTTCCCCGGCGAGGCCACCCTGACCTCTCCATCTGCAGCTGCCCCTACCCCAGGCCCACAGGCCTCTCTCCATGACACACACTTTGCCTTTCTGTTAAAATAACATTTATCACTTTATGACATAATTTCAGCTGCACCATTATTGGCTGACGTGCATTTTATTAGCTTCCCAAAAGCAAGAGTTGTGTCTGTCTTGTTTGCTGTGGCCCACTGCTATCCAAATAGTGACTAGAACATAGTAAGTGCTCAGTAAAAATCTGGCTAAAATAATAATGACTTGACTCAATAACTTGATTGATTTGCTGGGAAGCAATGAAAATAAAATGTCCACCACTGATCAATGGAAGAAAGTTTGTAGAAAAAAGTGAAATTCTAAAATGGCACAAAAGGTAGTGAAGGACAGCAACTGCTCTGTTTGCTTCTTTGCTTTTGTCCACCCCCGCCACCACCGCCACTCCCAGCGTTTTCATAAGTCTTCGCGAAGAACAAAAACTGTCCTGAACTCCTTTGGGTATATTTACCCAGCTCATGAGTAACCAACCCCCTTCCCTTGGAACTGTCACACAGACTCATAGGGAGGCCCCCCAGACCACCCTTTTTTATTACCCGGGACCCTGCCTCCATGGCCCTAGCTATTTGGAGAAGTGACAGACCCCAGATCCTGCCCTGACCAATCAGATCCTCTGAAGATGGCAGGAACCTAGCTACCGCCCTCTAGTGGAAGAAACTGGTTCTGCTGTCCCAGAGGGCAACCGAAGTGCCAGCGAATGGTGAGAAGAACTGAGATAGACTCCAGGAAATTCCTGCTCCGGGTCTTTCTTAGGCTCAGCTACATCCTCACCCTAGAATTTCCTTTCCAGAAACCATCTCTTCCATTTTCTTTTGCTTTGGTTTACATTCTTTTTTGCTTCTGTTCTCTTAGTGTTTCTATTATTTGGTACAAAGAAGTATGGTAACTAAATTGAACATGCATTACTGTAATAATAAGAAGAAATGACACCATCAGAATTCAGTTTATGTCAAACATTGTCAGTATGAGTACATTTGTATAAGCAGAGCATAGAAAGAGGCTCTCTGGCCACTCTGGACTTCCGAGACCACCCCCTCTCGTTATCTCCTCACGGCACCCACACCAGCACCCTACCTCTACCATTTTGTTGGACTTCCTGGACCAAGAGGTGATTGGGACCTTCAGATTCCCTCACCAAAGCCAGCGTTGGCAGTGGGCTTGCTGAAGGAGATAAGGGTGATTGTGTCGGGGGTCAGCTCAGCCAAGCTTGAGAGCAGCCAGCCCTGAAGACACGCGTGCCCCATGCCCGCTCAGCACTAATTTGAGCTGTGACACCATTTTCTAAGCTGTCACCACCTCAGGCCACTACAGGACCTCTCTTGAGGAATAGGAACAGTTGGTTTTCGATTTCCCTCCTCCGCTTCTCAAGAGCTGAGTTCCCAAGTTCAAAGACATCTATCATGGTGAGTGATGGATTGCATTTTAGAGCAGGTTGGCAGCAGGAGGGAATTGAATTCAGAAACAACTATCTGGCTTTTGCAACTCTGTGCCCTTTGCCCTGTTAAGCATCAAGCTGGCTGCCACATAATACAAGTGGCCACAGAAGCAGAACTGCCCTTTGCATTGTGCCCAGAAAAGCCTCCTCTGTCCTACAGAAGCAAAGGAACCCCAAAAAAGCCACTGGTGAGATTTCTAGGATGCTGTTGGAGGCTGAGCACAAAGACCTTTTTGATAGTGTGCTACCTGCTGGATACTGGAGAGACACAAAATTTCTGCCTATGAGCACTTATTCACTCATTCATTCTCTCAAAAACCTGTTAGGTTATTTATGCCTCCTTGACTTGGGCATTGGAAGTTTGATTCCCATTACAAAATAAATAATAGCTCTGAACTCTGAAGTCACAATACTGGGGATAGATCCCAGCTGACGACTACTGTCTGGGTAAAGGGGGAAAGTCTTACTGATTTGAGCCTTCCCTCTCTAAAACTATTGTTTCATTAACAATTTGGGAATAACAACAATACTCAGAGAAGTGCAGAGACTGAAACAGTGTCTATTGGGTGTGAGTAGTGAATATTGACTAACATTCGCTGATTTTACTTTTTGTTGTTGCTATTTTTATAGTATCCATATGATCTTTACTCAGACACAATTCTCTATTTCTCAACTGACTGATCAGATGGTATAATATCCTATGCTGTCTATTTCAGTATCATGATTTTAATAGAATAGCTCACACTAATAGAGGTTATTTCTATTTGTATGTGATCTTCCCTGGGCTCTCATGAATCCTGGCTCTGGATTTTTGCAGGCCTTCACAAACTCAGCATCCCAGCACCAGCCTCTCAGGTTACATTTTGCTTTTCATGAGCAGATTGGGAGGCAGCCAGTACAAGCGCCAGTTGTTAGCATACCTGGGGAGAGACTGTGTCTCCTTACTGCTTAGCACAGAGCAGAAGAGGCAGCCAATCAATACGCAGCAGGCGATGACAACACTAGCAACTGACAAGCAATGTCACTCTCGTTCATTGTTTCAAAAACACTTTCGGGGTGGCGAGCTCTAGGAGTTGTCAAGTGTTACGTGTTTACCAGAAGAAACTTGAAAAAGCATAGAACTAGTAGAGTATGGGTTTGGGCCATTCATCAAGATAAATCCAAAACAGAAGGCAAGCAAAAACATGTCGTAAGATTCTTTACCCTCGTGGATCTCTTGTCTACATAGTCAAAGAATGAAAGTATTTAGAGAAATTTTTAAAAGATAAGTAAGAAAGAAGTTTAAGCCCTATTGTGTGTGGATGTAGGTGAAGAAAGAGAGGAGAGCAGATGATGTAATCTACACTGAATACATAAATAATCGTATTAGCTAACATTTATGGAGTGTCTATTTTGTGCCAGACTCTGTACTAAGTTCTTCCATGTACTTTACTTTCTTTAATTGTCACAACATATTAATGCATGCAAAACACTTCACAATGCCTGGTGCTGAGAAGGTGCTCAGTATCAAACTGTCACCATTGTTATTGTGCTGATCATCATCCCTGCTTTCCAGATGAGGACACGGAGCCTCAGAGATGTGATGTGGCTTTCTTCTGCTTTTCAACTTCCAAGAGGTCCCAAGCTTGCAGTGTGTGTGTGTGTGTGTGTGTGTGTGTGTGTGTGTGTGTGTGTAAGAGAGACAGAGAGAGAGTGCTCATGCACACGCACCCTTGGGTCATTTATGCCTTAGGACTCAACTGAAGAGCAGAGATGCCGTGCTATCTGCAACCTCAGAGCCGTTGAAAAGTCAAAAGGACCTACGCATGAGGACATGTGGCAAAGACAGAGCACAGCGCAGGTGTCTGAGGGCCTGCTTTAGACAGCTGGACAGTCACAGGTTGCAGTCCCCATTCCTGTGTCCTGAAACATGTTGGAGTCCCACAGTCACCCAAGAAAATTGTTTTAGTTTGAGAACTAAGAAGTGACAGGTTTCCTGGGTAAAGACGAGGGGCTACAGACATCCCTTTTCTGCCCTGGGCCCAGCCTTCAGACATGTGTGACTCTGTCTCTAGCTCAGCTGGATACTCTTTGCCCATGGCATTTGTCCAGCCAGCCCAGCTGGCACTGTGATTTGTTCTTCAGACCTCTACTGCCCTCACTGTCATGGTTGTAGCTGTCACCAAATGATGGTTTTCCCTTCCCTTAGACACTGTCTGGAGCCCAGCCAATTCTGAACTTCACTACTCCCTACTGCTCGTTCATGACAAGACCAGCAACACAATACCATCGTCCACAAACCCTCCAGGGTGAAGGAAAGGGCAGCCATCACCTTGACTGTCAGCCCCAGAGCTTTCAGCTATGGAATCTGTCCACACAACTGTCCTTTGAAGATTCCCGGATGTGAAAGTCAGAGCCAGACACTTGCCTACAGATGGAAACGTGGACTGCCTGGTCTAGTTGCAGCCTGGGAAAACTCACTGATCCTCTCCGCTACTCACAATCCCGTTTTGCAGATGAGAAAGCAGAGGTAAATACTTTGCCCAAGGCACTACTGCTAGCCATGATTTGCCCAGCCCAAACCCTCTCCAAACCTCCCTTTCTCTTCCAGAGATGCCTAACTCTCAGGATGTTCGAGGACTTAACCTTCAAGTTTCCCCTTTCATGCCTTCATCTCAGTCATGCCCAGCTTGCCTTTCCCCCAAAAGCCCCCCCCTGGAGGGAGAATCTTTTGTGGGAGGCACACTGCCTCCCCAGATGCTGCTTCCCTTCTGCCTGTGGGAGATGCAATCACTCATTAGCTCACTGATACGCAGCATAAGGTCAGCCCCCGCCTGGCAATCCACAAAGGAATTCCTCCGGGGATGCAGCGGCTGCACATCTAGACCTGCAGCCGGGGAATTTCTGCCTTTGTGCCTGTGCCTGTATTAATTAATCATTCTTTTAACTCTGGCTGTGTCTACACGCATTATTGTAACAGTCAATTCTGTTCTCCAAAATAAGCTAATTTAAACTAGTGATCTAATGGCTTTCTCTTTTTTTCTTTTTCTTGCTGGATTTCTGTTTTAAAACAGAGCCAGATTTAAGAAGGGAGGATTCAATGAGTCCAAAATCATAATAGAAAAGGAGCATTCGTTCATTTGTTCATCCATTCATTCAACACATTACAGGACAGGACTTAGCTAGCACTTGGAGGAGCGCATGATATATAACTGACAGTGACGTCTGCAGTCTAATACGGGGAAGGAGGTAAAGACAAGCGTCACATAGAGCAGCACAGTGAACACATCACGCCAGTGGAAGGATGTCCTTCTTCAGCTTCACTTCTAGGCCACAGGAAAAGCAAATATGAATCCATCCTGCCACCCATAAAAGGGGCTCATTGGATCAGCAAAATGAGAGAGCCTAAAGTCATGGCAGAATCCATGCCAGTGGGTTTGCCACCAACCGCCAAGTAATTTTGACAATACAAGGTACTCACAGGAATGGAGAGGGACGTGCAAGTACCACAGCTCAGGAAATGCAATGGTGGTTTCCTTCTGGCTGGTGAGTGGGCAGTGTTTGATTGCTGTCCTCCTAAACCTACACTGTGTGATGACACGGATAAGGTTTGGCTAGCATTTGGCTTTCACTACCTATAAGGAAAGAGCTCTTTAATAGTCCTTGTATGTCTACAGGATGTGACAGATTTAAACTAGTTAAGAGAATGGATTGTTTTCAAGGACTAATTAAACGATGAAGCTATTGATAGTATGAGTCACTCTCGCTGTCATTAAAGCAGCCCTCTGATGTGGCCCAGGAGGCCCAGCTCTGCCCGCCTGCAGCCTGCTGTGTGGCCCTGTGCACAGACCTTACAGCTAGTGGGCTGGCACCTGGGCTGTGCTCTTCACAGGCCAGAAGCTGAAGGTCACATGGTCCAACACTGGGAACTTCAGTGTTGTCTTTTGTACGGTGGTGCTGGCTCCCTCATCTCCTAAGATTGAGCTCAAGCGTGTGATGTCACAGAAAGCGTTTGGTAAATGCTTCAATCGTTACTTAAGAATCAATCACACAAGCCTGGGGTGGATGGGACCTGACTATGTGACTGCTCAAATGCAGTGGTGGTGTGTGATGGTCACCAACTCGCAGTGGCCAAATAGGCAGTTCTCACTGCTGCTTGGAGGAGATACAGAGCCCCAAGTGGGGAGCAAGAAAGTCTTGGTACCTGTGAGGGAGATCATATCACATCCCATGAGCGGTGCTCCTGAATATGTCCGTGCTTGTAGAAGGTTCTTGGGGTGCGGGACTCTGGAGGATGGACAATACTCATTCTCTGTCTCCTTCCTTCCTTACCATCCTATGGCTTGATGGGAACCTGTTCCTTCTCTCCACAGGCACCTCCTCCTGGAGCCCGGAGGGAGATACTCCCACTTCTGTTCATGCCATGTCTTCTACCCCTCACTTTGAGCTGTGGGAGAAGGTTAGGTCCCTCCCATCTTATTCTACCTCTGTGATGGGCTTTGGGCCTTTCAAGCCATCTCTCCACAAATTCCTGTAAGACCCCAACACACTACTGCTTATACTGCAGGGTGTTTCATCAACCGGGACCTTGCACCCCCTACCCAGAGTGTGCACACCCTGAGCAGGGCCTTGGGCGATGTCTCCCCTGAGCCCGGGAGACGTTGAGTTTAAGCCCACACTTAATGCTCAAAACGTTGAATAAGCACATGCCTGAAAGGGCCTCATATTCTACACTTCAAGTTCCCTGAACTCAACATCCATACTCAAAATTGACCTATCTTTGAAAAAAATGGGTACTTTTGGTCCAACACCATACTTCCACATGGTCCTGCCCCCTTTGCCTGCTCCCCAGACTATCATGATTAACCAACATCCCAAGGGCTGCTCCCCTCTAGACTGGAAGCTTGCAGTGTCCCCTGAAGTCACTCTGCAGAGAATGTATCCCTGTCATTAGATGTCCTGGGCTTCCTCTGGCCCAAACCCCAGCAGACTCAGCCCAGCTGCACCTGTCAGCAGAACCCCAGGACTCACTCTCCACACAGAGCCAAGTCTGGGAATCCGGCCCACTGAGTAAGCCCCCACAGAAGAACCAAGGCTGCTGTTGCAGTGTGCACGTGTACTCTACGCTGTGCTCAGGGTGGCATCCTGCCCCCACCTCAGAGTTGCACCCAGCCTAGATCCATAACACGAAGTTCTGGAACCCAGTGTTGGCTCCGACCTGTGGCTCTCTCTGGATTGGGAAGTCACAGGGCTGCAGGGCCACATCACATGCCAAACACTCCTGTTGGATGGAGAGGGGTGGTGTCAGCAGACAGACACCAAGGTACCAAGCAGCTGGTAGCCATGTATTAATCCAGATCATTTCGATGGTGATAAGAGATACAAAGAACATCTAGAGCCACTGGAGAGCTCAGGGCTCGTGTCCTGGCAAAGAATGGAGGGGACAAACCAATCGAGGGGAGACCTGACCCACCATGATCCAGCCCGGAGTCCACCTGCAGGGAGCGGAATCCACAGGCCATCACACTAGTTCCCTGGGACAGGGACAAGAGGAAAGACCTCCCCACTGTGACACTTTCCGTCAGCAAGAGCAACAGTGAAAAGAGCAACTTGAAGCCATGGCAGTGGCTTTTCCTTGGTTTCAGAAGGCAGTAATTGCCTTCCCTCCTTGTTTCTTCCTTTTATGAGGAGGGACGCATCTCAATGAGGCCCAAATGCTCGTGCCAGGAAACACACTCCCACTCGCTCTGCTTCCCCAGAATGCTGAATAGTCTTTGTGGACTTGAAGGACGGCCTTGTCAACAGCGACGATATTTGCAGAATATACTGTTACACATGGAGGGAAGTGGAAAGTGGTGACGTGGAAGCCACTCTTCCCCTGTTGGGCCTGCCCAGCCCCCTCCCTCCTCAGCCTGCCAGGGCAGGACACATAGTCCAGACACTTGCTGGGCCAGTGCTCTATGGCCGTGGGGAGGGAAGACATGGCAGTGCCATCCCCGCACTGCAGAGTTTTACCTACAGTTCGGGGAACATAGACGTGAAGGCCCCAAAGCTCCTGGATCTGATGCTCTGGGAAGCTGACTTGGCAGCCCCTTGCCCTTGAGGGCATTTCTGGGCTTGCCCTGAAGGCCACAGTTGGGATCGGCATCCTGCTACCCAGGGAAGTACCTGCTCGAGGCGGTGAGGTCCCTGTCACTGGAAGATGTGTGCTACAGAGAAGCTGTCACCTGCACTTGGAGTCGCTGCCTTTCTCAGACAGCTGCACACTGGGGAACACCCTTGTGCTGGGCCTGTGCTAGGAGCAGGAACTCAGTAATAACAAGAGTCTCTGCCTATGGTTGCAGGAAAGAAAGACAGTGAATAAGGCAAGTGCTGTGAGAAACAAGAGGCTACTGTAACAGAGGTTGTGGGAGGGGTGGGAGGAGTCTGCACTGGGGTGGGGGCTGAGACCCCCATGCTGAAAAGGAGCAGCCCCGGGGGACCTGGAGCAAAGGTCTCCCCATAGAGAGATGGGCTGTGCAGGCCCCAAGATAGACCCTCAGACCTCAGTTTCCAAAGCCCCCCTGTTCTTTGATACTGGGATGATCTGAGGGCAGAAGCGGCAGGTGGGGTTGGGTATGAGAGTCTGATCAGCTCTTGCTGAGGATGTGCAGGGGCCAGGGTGTGGCTGTGGCATTGCCCTTGCCATACTTTTGCTGGCCAAGGACAGCGTGACCCTGGCTGGGTTCCCATTCCTGGTAGAGAGTGACCAAGACCAGAGAAGCGGTGGTCTCACATGGGGGTGCCATGGCCTGCAAAGAAGCTCCATGTGGCCAGCTGGGATGGGGTGAGGGTGGGGACAGAGTGTGGAAAAGCCTGTCCTAGCCAAGTCTTACAGCAGCAGGTGCACAGGCAGCCTCCGTCCCCAGGACCAGCCCATCCCTGCACCTCCCAACCCCACCTCCACCACCCCTGCCAGGTCTTACCCTGGACATACACTAGGTCCTCATTTTAGATCCCGCTGTCATTCTTAATATTGGCACCAAAGTGAGAAACAGTGAGCCCTCACCAGGGGTGATGAAGAAAGGGGCCACAGGGGGCCGACATCCAGTGTCCCCTGCTGGGGTGGTCCAGAGTGCGTCCATCAGGCCCGAGCCAGGAGCGCAATTTCAAAGTTGAGATTTAAAAACTGCACCAGGACTTCATGCAGGCCCAATGCACAAGCATGTCAGTAGAAAGTGCCGAAGAGAGAAATTAGAGTCATTCATAGGAAAATGGATACATATTGAGGATATACTCCTA